TCTATCCAATTCCTTTTGGAAGGTTGTTACTGAATCTGTTTCCACCACCCTTTCAGGCAGTGCATTCCAGATCGTAACAACTCCGGGTAAAATACGTTCTCATCATCTCCCCTCTGGTTCTTTTGCCAATTATCTTGAATCTATGTCCCCTGGTTACTGCCAGTGGAAACAGTTTTTCCCTATATATTCTATAAATAACCTTCATAATTTTGAACACCTGTATTAAATCTCCCCTTTAACCTTCTTCGTTCTAAGGAGTATAATACCAACTTCTCTCGTCTCTCCACATAACGAAGGTCCCCCATTACTGGTCCATTCCGGTAAATCTCCTCCGTACCCTCTCCAGGTTAATCTTCCTAAAGTGTGGTGCCCAGAATTGGACACAATACTCCAGCTGAGGCCTAACCAGTGGTTTATAAAGGTTTAACAGAACTTTGTTGCTTTTGTACTCTATGCCTCTATTTATAAAGTCAAATATCACATATGCTTTTTAACAACTTATCAACTGCCCTACTACCTTCAAGGGTCTGTGTATGTGAACCCCCAGGTCTCTCCGCTCCTGAACCCCCCTTAAAACTGTACCATTTATTGTGTATACTTTCCAGAATTAGGTAAGTAGGATGTCTTCCTCCAGGGAGAGAGTGCACATCCTATTCCAATAAATATGTCTGGAATTTCCTTGTAACAGTGGGATGCATGGACCTCTTAGTTTGGTTTGGATACTCTTAAGAATATTGATGAGTTTCTGCATGTGTCGGACTCCCGGCTCATCAAAAACAATATTTGTTGAGGTTGAATTTCTCTTGTTTGGTTTTATATCTTTCAGAACGTGGTTAATTTCGATCCACATACTTAAGGACGCAGATAAGTGGAAGAGACTAAGTAGGCATCAAAAGGTTGTGAGAATGAAGGTCCCATAACATCCTGGTTACTCTGAAAGGGGCGAATATACACAAGGCCCTGGAAGGTGTTGAGATAGTGTTCTCTGCCTTCTCTTCCTTCTTCCCCTTTGTTTCTGGGGAAATGATTATTGGGGGCTTCTCTCTCAGTCGCGCTCACACAGTTGGAAGTACAGAGTCAAGGTAGTGCATATTCCCTATAGAGAAGCTGAGTATATAGTTTTTATGTCATAGCAAAAATATTATAAGTTCCAACATACATGAACAGTTCCTCAAACACATGGATATTTCAGGACCTTTCCATGAGCTAGGCATGAGTATTGATACCCCACAAAGCCACAAATCATGTAAAGGAATTTTCAATATAACATTAGCACATTGTTTTCCCAATACCTCCCCAATTGTGGCAGACATTTTAATTCAGGTTATTAATGATCAGTATTTAATTGTGTGCATAAACCATCCTGAGAGATCTTGGAAAATAATGCTAGCCTTTTTAATTCTATGCTCATGGTGCATATACAATTGTCCATTTCAGAAATAATATCTTGCACATGTCTCCCATGAGAATAAGATTGATTTTGTAGATTGATAAAAAAGCTTGTACATGAGACCACTTTCTTTTCTTTAGAGAAATTTGATATAAGGAAACTATTCCTCTTATTCTACAAAGATTGGCCTTGAATTAAAGGGAAAGATTAGGAGACAAAAACTTTACAGGCCAATCTAAGAGTATCCGACCCAGAGATGGGTATAAGAAGAGGTGGATCAGGAAAAGATACTAGATAAACAAGAACTTTTGTAGTTTTGTGAATTTGGACCCTGGTGAAATTTCTTGCCTATAGGGGAAAATACAGTTCGTAATGTGATAATTATTATCCTCATAGTTACCACATTTGATATTGTACTCTCCCACTCCCATATTTATCACTTTTTATGCAAATTTAAGATACAAATTTACATACAATCCATATGTTTACAGACACTTGGCAACACTACAACCTCCTTATTTTATTAAACGTACCGAGTCTGCTAACAACATTGTTTCACAGTCCACTTGCCTGAAACTCACTTAAGAATCACTTGCTGAATACAAAACAAGATTTGTCTGTCTTATCTATCTGCTAGGAACTTAAGTGGAATTTCACCAAGTTTCAAAAACCACCAGGGTTAAATATTTTGTTATAGATGCAATTATCTGGATCTGGAGGTCATGCTAACTATTTTTATAAAAGCAGAACCAATATTAGTTCTTCAGTGTTTCCTATGACAAATGTGTGAATAATTAATGTTAATGGTAAAGAAATTGAATAATTCCAATCAAACTTTACCAAAGATGTTATCTACACTTACACTGCTAAATTTCACTTCAGTGGAGTCATTATTATTTATTATTTCAGTGGAGTCCAGCAACATAGTGGATAGCTCACTCATCTCGTAAGCGAGAGAACCCAGGTTAGATTCCTGGATGGGGTGAAACTTTAGGCAAGTTTCCTTACTCCACACACCTCCATTTACCTAGCAGTAAGTAGGAACCTGGTTGATAGTTGTTTGGCGGATCGCTTCTCAGAGGTAAGAATGCCTAAAAACATATACTAACTCAATCCACGACTGTTCATACAACAGTGTGCAGTTGGCTGCTGTGTTTCGCCCATAAAATACAGAGTCAATCCATTTTATTATAATATATTCTGTGAAGCACTTTGAGACTCTCAATGATGTGATAAGGTGCCCTGTCAAATGCAAGTATTATTATTTATCATATTCAGAAATTCTCTAGGTTTATTATATCCAGATGTGCTTACCTATCCAGAACAATAAAATAATAATCCTTACTTTTCCATTTCCATGGCAGAATGGTTAGATGAGTGGCACATGCAGTTTAATGTGAGACTGTGAAATTGTACATTTGGGAAAAGAACAATGTATACTCAAAAATTATGTTTCCCACCAGCAGCTATTGAGAGTTGGGAAACATATAATTAGGAACAAATACAGTAGAAGACCACTTAACCGCATGTCAACTTTCTACGTGTCTGTTTATCTGCAACACAGCCTCTGAAGTTGTGCTGCAAAGCTGCTGAAAATCTTTGGTGGAGAGATCTGATCCTGGTGAGTATGAGAATAAAAAGAGAGACAAAAAAATGAAATTTACACACAGAAATATGCAAACAAAGAGGCAGAGAGAGATAGGCATATACGAAGCACATACACTGTGATCCACAATGGGACCAGATATTAGTGTCAATATCAAGTTCTCTGTTGTAAGAGGTTTTGGAGAGGGAACCGAAAATTGGGATCATCTACTCTGATTGATACCAGTGGCGGAGCTGGCAGTAATAAACTCAAGAAGCTAAATCTCCTCACTTTTCTATTCAATTATAAAGTCATCATGGGGAGTTTCAAAATGAGGGGCAGTTCTGGCATTACCTTTAGCAAAGATTTAGTGTCATAATTCCATTTATTTTGTGATTAATAATAAAATAATCCATTTATTTGACCATTGAAAGGTCTCAAAGTATTTCACAGGATTTTACTGTAAAGCGCAATGATTGTGCTTGTAGAGAAATGCAGCATGGAATTTGTACAATACAACATCCCCAGAACAGCCTTGAGATGAATAAAGAATGGCCAGGTCCAGGTACTGAATAGTGTCAAGGGATCTTTACCGTTGACCCGAACAGGCAGACATAACCTCAGTTTAACAACTCATCTGACAGAACCTCCACAGCACTGCAAGTGTCAACTTGGTCCCAATGTGGGACTTGAACCCACAACCTTAATAATAATAATAATCCTTGCATTTGATATCGCGCTTTTCACATCTTCTAGACGTCTCAAAGCGCTTCACAGAATAGACTATCAAGTAAATTAACTGTATATTTGTGGGCGAAATGCGGCAGCCAATTGCGCACAACAGTGTCCCACAAACACTCGTACATTTAAATGACCAATATATTATTGTGATTTTTCTTGAGAGATTATTATCAGGCATGTGGAGTAAGGAAACTTGCCGGGAATTGAACCCAGGTCTCTCGCTTGCAAAGCGAATGTTCTAACCACTGAGCTACAGGACTCCACCTTCTGACTCAGAGGCAAGTTTGCTACCAACCGACTTAGGCTCACACCTATTCTAATGACTCACACTTTTTCCAATGGAATAAGAAATAAAATTTGCCTTCCTTTTAAATCTTGGTGGTACAACATTGTGATGCAACCACTATTCGGTGCCCTGGCCATTCTTTATTCCCTTGAATTCAGAAGGATGAGGGATGATCTGATTGAAGGTTGTAAAATAATGAAGGGATTCAATAGGATACAGAGAAACTATTTCCTCTAGTAGGGAAATCGAGAACCAGGCGGGCATAATCTTAAAATGAGAGTAAGGCCATTTAGGAGTGAAATTAGGAGGCAGTTTTTCACCCAAAAGGTAGTGGAAATCTGGAACTGTCTCCTCCAAAAGGCTGTGGATTTTCAAGACAGAGGTAGGTAGATGTTTCTGATCTTATAAAATGGCGGAAAAGGCTCGAGGGGCTGAATAGCCCACTCCTGTTTCTATGTCTAGGAATCTATGGATCTCAAGGCTGTTTTGGGGATATTGTTTTGTGCTATTTTTTTATTTTTTTTTGCAAATGCAAAGTTGCATTGCCCTCCTCTTATCATTGTAACGGATACCCACCCCATCACCTTTGCCCTCGACCCCTCTCTACTCCAACCCCCAGCTCGGGTGCAGACCCTGAACTGTCCAGTGCTTTCTACACCCCCCGGGGTGTGAAGCCCCTGTGTGTAAATGTGATCCCTTGTTGCTCTGTGTGTGTGTGTGTGGGTGGTGGTGGGGAGAGGGTCTTCTTTTTGCTTCAATAAATCTAGGTCATAAACGTCGCCCCGCCCCCTCCCGTGACGCCACCACGCCGCACCCCGGTGACGTCACGCGCCCCTCACCCCAGTGACGTCAGGCGGCCCAGCCCAGCTCTCGTCCAATGAAGCAGGTGAGCCGCCCGTGACATCACGGCGTCACACACAGGAGCCGGAGAGACCACAACAGAGGCGGTGACGTCAGGCGCAGGCAGGAGCCCCGCCCCCCCTCCTCCCCCCGCGGGTGTCTGAGCCAAAGACAAAAGATGGCGAGCGCGGGGATGGTGGGACCGGCGGCCCAGACACGCTCACACCTTCCCGGCGACAGCGCGGAGAGGGAGGCGGCCGAGCCACAAGTTCTGAGGGACAATGGCGAGAAGGCGGCGGCGGCTGTGAGCGGCTGCGAGGAGCGGGGAGACGAGGAGCAGCGGCCCGGGCCGCCGGCGGCCGGGGAGTGGGTGCCGGGCTGCGGCCGCGGCTCTGGCCCTCTCTGGCTGCTGACCCGCCTGGAGTCCGCTCTGACCTGGCGCAGCCCGGGCTACAGCGTCGGCCTCTTCATCTGCGCCAACGCCGTGTTCTGGTAAGCGGTCTGTGTGCGTGTGTGTGTCTGTCTGTCTGAGTGTCTGTGTGTCTGTGAGTGTGTGTCTGTCTGTGTGTGTCTGTCTGTGAGTGTCTGTGTCTGTCTGTGAGTGTCTGTCTGTGAGTGTGTGTGTGTCTGTCTGTGAGTGTGTGTCTGTCTGTGAGTGTGTGTGTGTGTCTGTGAGTGTGTGTGTGTCTGTGAGTGTGTGTCTGTCTGTGAGTGTGTGTGTGTCTGTGAGTGTGTGTCTGTCTGTGAGTGTGTGAGTGTCTGTGTCTGTCTGTGAGTGTGTGTCTGTCTGTGAGTGTGTGTCTGTCTGTGAGTGTGTGTCTGTCTGTGAGTGTCTGTGTCTGTCTGTGAGTGTGTGTCTGTCTGTGAGTGTGTGTCTGTCTGTGAGTGTGTGTCTGTCTGTCTGTGAGTGTGTGTCTGTGTCTGTCTGTGAGTGTGTGTGAGTGTGTGTGTGTCTGTCTGTGAGTGTGTGTGTGTGTGTGTGTGTCTGTGTGTGTGTGCACTGGGCGAGGCCCCCGCCTCACACTCACTACCACAGCATTTACCCATTTTGAGCCACACAGACAGACACACACACAGACAGACAGACAGATACTCGGGGCTGTGTGTGAGGGCTGAGTGTGTGGCGCCGCCTGTTTTCGTGCCTCTGGTTTCAGTGTCACATCCTCAGTGACATTGCAGGACCGGCGTTTGGGAGCGGAGCTGCGGTGCCGGTGTCGGTGTCGCCTGTTATTCCCAAACAGTGAACACCAGAGACCGTGTCCCCTTCGCCGTGTGGCCAGAGTCCCGCGGGTGGCGGGTGTCGGGCTGTCATGATGTGCTTCCATTTCGCAGTGAGGTTGTTCAATTAATCAATCAATTAATCAATCAATTAATCAATCAATTAAGCAATCCACTGTTATAAATAACCTCCACCCAACCTTCCCTCCGTAAATAAGCCACTCGGAGATTACGCCTTAAACATTTGAGATAACCTCGGGGCCGGGTGATCCCTCTCAATGTGACATTGCCGATTATATATATATATATATATATATATATATAGAGAGAGAGAGAGAGAGAGAGCCTGAGAGCTCCCACCGTCTTTATAAACACCACAGCTGCACATCTGTCATTACAGGGGGGGGAAAAAAAAGTAAAACTCTCCCGGACGAAACCTCACTCAAAGGGTTTAGTGAGAACCATTATGTCGTGTTCATGAGCCACTGATGAATGCGGTTAATTTTGCACAACAAACTGCAACAGTAATTGTTGTGGTTTATTGTGTTTGCCGAGGAAACATTACTGGGGCACGAAAACAAACGTCCCGTGTTATGCTTTCAACCTTGACAAAACGAGAGCTTAATTTGAGCAACACACCATGCATTTTTTTTAAAAAAAGTTATGAGACATTGTAAATGTATTTATTGGGCGTTTTTCATGACGTTCAGCTTCAAATTGCAGTGGCTGAATTGCTAATATTATCCTCATTGTGTGTTTGACTTAGGTTTCTAGCTTTAACACCTTGGAGGTTGTATTCCCTTGTTGCTTTGTGCTTCCTTTTGTTGGCCGTTTTGGAAAAGGTGAAGCTTTTGACTTTGTTCATAATGAAAGGTAAGGAAGACTGTATTTGTATTGTATGCATGACAAGTGCCATAATAATAACGCCTGTTCGTCGCCAGTTGCAATACCAGGGCTTTTGAATAGAGGGTGTTATTCAATGGACATAATAACTGTGCAACAATTTATTTGTTTAGATGTGGTTTCTTTGAGTAGTGTTAAATGTTAAAACCGAAAGTGTGTCATGCTTTTGGTCTTGTTGAAACTAAGCAGAATTAGTCCATGTTAATTGGTACATAAAAAGATTAAATAAATGCTTTAAAAATACACCACAATCATCCCATTTTCCCATATTTTAGATTTTTGAATGTTTTCTTGTATGTTTTAACCTTCCTCAAGTGTTGTCATTAACTGAAGTTTCTGCAGATTCAGCAGTTATTTTCTTGGTTCCTGCTTTGGTTGCAGGACTGAGTCATAAACCTGCTGCTCTGATTTTTAAACACCTTAGTTCATGTATAATAAGTGTTAGAAAAATATGAACCTGTTTTTGCTATTTAGAATATAATAGTTTGTCTAACCTAATCTCTTTCCCTTCTCTGCCCCTCCCCACTACTTCTCCTTCACTTCCTATTTTGATACGTCAGTAGTTTTAGGACTGCAAACTACTATTTTTGTCCTCTTGTCAATTTTTTCCTCCATTTTGTATTTAACCCGTTTTTGAAGGCTTTTGATTCCTTTTTTTCTATCCAAGAACGCAGTTTATAGCACTGGTTGCCATCGTCTAGATAGTCATTATTTATGCAGTAGCATTGATGGGAAATTAATGCTACTACCTGCTTCCTGCTTACCTAATTCCAGATAATATTAGGTGCAGTTTGGTAAGAGCCAAGGTTTTGGAACCCCAGAGTGCAGGTACTGCTGGAGTCTAACCATCTAAAACCGCATAGTTTGCCATTGAAAACACCGTCTGGCAAGCTTTCCCACTGCTTGTCCAGCTTGGAGCACCCTACCCATTAGGGCTTTGGCTGACAGGGTTAAAAGGAGCTGAATGGGAAGAATTCCTGCTCGCAGTGATTGGTCTGCCCCTCCAAGTTCTGCCAATAGTATCAGCAATGCCCTAGAATACTGCGGATCTGCCTTGCTCAGCAACTGGACTACTGAGGCAGCCACAGACGGATGGCCCGGTTCTAACTTTCTTTACCGAACATATCACTTTGGAGCCAGTTCAGCTCAAAGGAGTGCACACTTATGTTAACCTAAGGAGGATAGTCACTAGCTGGTCATTTGACATCTGCCAAGCATGGGTTTGATCCCTCATGAAGTGGATAGCTGGTATCAGGAACACCCTGCATGCTTCCTGGTGGGTAGCACAGCTCAACATGAAGTGTGTGAGAACATTGCTACCGTCTTCTTGGATACTCATCCCTTTCAATTGAGCGATGGTTCTAACAGTTAGAAGTGGGAAGCTTGAGCGGCAGCTGCCTAATGTTTTGCAAGCCAATCAAAGTGGATTCCAAGCCCTGCATGTGTGAAAGCCTGTTTTTCCAATAACTATCACCCCAAGCCTCAGTTTCCTCATCAGCTAACATCCCCCTGATGGATATAGTGCCTTATCACTTCATTGAAATGCCTCAAAGAGCTTCACAGGTTATACTGCAAAGTTAGTGACTGTATTTGTAGGTGACAAGAGCCAGGCAGCGATAAAGTGAATGACAGCAACTATGAAGTGAATGACTTATCTTGGAACAAATTCCCTTCACTTTTTGAATAGTGCCATGGGATCTTTGACATCAACTCAAACGGGTAGTTGGGACATTGATTTAACATGCCATCTGAAGGACCACACCTATGACAGTGCAGAACTCCCTTAGGATCCTTCAAGTGCTCTGGGACTCTACCCTGCTTGAAGCACAGCATATAATGCAAGTTGTTGTTGTTGAGTGTCAGCCTCAGTAATGATCTCAAAGTCCTGACTTGGGGGCTTTGAAACCACAGCTGTCGAACAAAGAGACCTTAACCAGGCTAACACCTGGCTCATCAGATAGTCAAAGGAATATAATTCTGCCAGTGAAGTCCAATAGTAGCAGACTTGACCACATAGATTCAAGCACTGACTGCATTGATCTGTATGGTGCTCACTCCAATTCATGGAGTTGGTGCAGATCCTTGGTGTCTTGTTCAGTCTTCAATTGGCCTTCAAACTTTACATCTTGGCTCTCACTCAAACCGTTTTCTCACCTTTGCAACACAGCCTACCTCCACCATTAACACTCTCCACAGGTTGCTTAAACCCTCAGTCATTGCCTTCATTACCTTTAGGCTTGAATACTCTAATGGCTTACTTGCTGGACTCCCAAGCTCCTCCCTACACAAGTTGTAGCCAAGGGGCATTTGTAGCCATGTCCCATTTCTATGAGCTCATTACCACCCATATTACTCAGTTCCGCTTGTTCCTTATCCCACAGCAGATCAATATCAATATTTGTGCCCTCACTTCCAAATATCTTCATGGCTTTGCCCACCCTACTATTGTGACCTTCTGCAGCCCTAATGCTACCTTAACCCTTCCCCTGTCTGCGCCAGCCGCTCCCACCACTCAGCTTGCTTCATGTCTTGCTATCCCACCATTGGTGAATGAGCTTTCGCCCATTCTGTCCTATCTCTACTGAACTTCATCTTGGATTGCCTCTGCTTTGTCCCCTTCGAAGCTCACAGACAACCCTGTTTTCAGCCAACTTCTGTCCCTGCACTCCTCAGCTTCTTCCCCAGTTTGGGCCCCCAGTCACCTGTTGGAAGTTTTGTTTGTGTGTGTGTGTGGATATATAAAAAAAGTGAAAAAAAATTGGGTCCAACTTACTACTAAAGAATCCATCAAATACAGGTATCTCGGGTGGATTTGGCAAAGTAAGTGAAAAATGCTGAACGTGCTGCTGTTTGGTTTATGCGTTTCTCTGCTAATTAGAATTCCAGAAAAGTTTGTAGCTAACCTTGTGCTGATCAGGTCTATCTTCTGCCAATTACTAACATTAGCAAAGCTAACATCTGTTTTGTTTTATCAACTCTTAATGTGTTTTGTTTGGTGTACATTTATAATCGTATTTCCCAGTAAAAATATTACTATTGTTAGTGATCAGGGTATAAAGATCACATTGCCAACTGGGATACGGTATATTAATTTTAGTCTGCAATAAAAATATTGCTAGTTAACCCTGTATAATGTTCCACAGAGAATTTCTGGTCAGATTTATGGGTTTTTATGGTCACAAAGAAAACATTTTTGATCTGGATAGTGTAATTATGCATCAAGGTGTACACTAAAGTCAAAATGAGTTCAGTGGTAGCCACATGATTGTGTTTCAAATAAGTTTGCTAATATTGTCACTTTTCAATAGGTTGGAAATCGAGCAGAAGCCTTAGTGAAAGGTATGTGTCAAATCATTTCTACTTGAATTGAGGATTCTGGATCTGCATAGTCACTAACTGAAATTTGAGTAATATTAATACATAGCTGAAATATTACCTATTATACTTTGCAGGATTACTATTGCAACAGTGCATCATCAGTAGGTAAAACTAACCTGCCTCATAACAATGTAATATTGTTCATATTCCCTATTAGTGGGTGAACAATCGAATGCATCCCGGTGGCACTGATTTCCTAGTCAGGGTAGAGTTGTGAGAAAAGTGCTCAAAAGAGGCCAAGTGCACTCACACATGAGCAAACCACAGCTCCACTCAACTCCACTCAAATCCTGAGTTTTCCTACAGTCTCCTAGTATCTGGCTTGGTAGTAGATACCCAGGAGCAGGTCAACTGTATAATGTAATCATTCATACATGGTAAGAAGGATAAATAGAGGGGAGAGGTACTCACCACTCCAAAACAAAATTTCCACACATAAAATAACAGGTGATGCACGTTTTCCGTAGCACACAAGGTTTGTCATTCCTAGCCTCTGGTAGTGTGTGAACGTCTCGGGAACATTTATTTTAAAAAGTCATTGAGGCAATCTTAGATCTATTGAATACTCTGGGTATAACTGTTAGACGTCAAGCTCATACGCTTCAAGTGGATGTACCACAGTTTTAGTTATGTTTTATTGTACATTACATTTTTATTATAATGCTTGTGTAGTGGGACTAGATGTTATAAAATCTAACGTACCACTATTGCACACGAGAATCAATAGTGAATTTTGAATGGGAGGGAACGTTAGACTTGCATAATGCACGTCTCAAATCTGTAACTTTTCAGAAGAGTTCAGTGTTTCAAAACTGCCACCTTACAACTCTGTATCGCAAACTTGCATATACTGTATTTGTAAAAGATAGCCGGTTAGGGCAACAACCCTGGAGATATGGTGTACTTCTATGATTGTATTGCTGCTACATTTAGAACTATTCATAAGGTTACAAGTTAGCCTTTGTTCAACTTCTGCAGCCAATTCCGCTCGATGCCCCGAGGATATTGTACCTTGAAGACGTAGACTGAAGATCAAAATGTGTAGCCAACACAATTTTTTTTAAGAAACTTTAATGAAACGGGGCAGTGCCCACAATACTTACTTATACGTGATAAATCTGGCCTAAGCTTTACCAAAGGTGACCTCCAGTATTTTCTGGATGATCTTCTTTCATTGGGGACCAGAACATTCTAAATCAACAAAAAAGTTCCAGTTTCCGTGAACGAGAGTCCTTGACACACAAACTGCTCATTATGCCACATGCATAACTGTTACAGTTGCATTACAGATATACTGCAGTTGATAAGAGAAAGTGGACATCCTGAGGCAGAAATGCTGAATATGAAGAATCAGTTCAGATAAGGCAGTTGAGCATTCACTATGCCCGTGTCTTAGCTATATGGTGTATTGTGTTGGTGTAATAAGCCCACATTTCTACAAATGTTTTTTGAGAAACTCTTTCAGATGAGATGTTAAATCAGAGTCCCATCATCTGATTTTCAGGTGGGTATTAATGATCCCATGGAACTTTGTGAAGAGTTTCTTCTTTCTACAATATCACACATTGATTACCAATTGTGCGTACAATGGGCAAGTCTGGCTTGATTCCATTGACATGACCCACAGTGGATCCCACAAAACCTGTGTAATACCCTAGCATTGTTAGCATTAGTATCAAATACCTGCAGAACTTTTCTTATATTAGTACAAACAATCAGTAGAAACTGAGCTATCTGTTTGGAAAGAAATTACAATGGGTGGGAGATGTTGATTGCCTTTAGGAGAAGATTGGTGAAGAAAAAAATCTTGTTATCATAGTTCTGGTACACGGAGAGTAATTTGCTATACAAGTGGAAGTATACTAGACGTTTGGGCAGAGTTGGCCATATAATTTTGTTATCGTGGAATTATCAGTGTGATTTGATTGATTAAAATGCCCATTATCTGATTTTCTAGCTTGACATGGCTTAATCCAATTGGCACTCAAAGCACTTTAGTGTATACAAGTGTGTTGTCTTTTAAGGCTAATCGTATTTTTGGATATTCGTTGTGCAGTTTTGTTTCAAAATTCAATAGTTGACAGTATAACATGGCTACAACAGTAAGCAGATTGGTTGAGTAAGCAGGCGCTTGTATGAAAGTTCTCTGTGAAAAGGAAGTTAAAATTGGAATGGCCCATCTAAATTTGCTTCTGAGAAGCTTTTTTTGCTTTGTTTATTGAATTGAAACATATTTGCTGCTAGTTCTAACACTTTACAACGTACTGAGTTTCGTCTGCAAAATACAGTGTCCATCTACTTTAGAGTAAATCCTGTGAAGTGTTTGGGACATCTCGACAATGTGATAAGCCACTAAACCAAATGCAAAGATTATTATTTACTTTGAGAAGTAACGACTTTTGCTACCTCTTGTGTCTTGTAAGCTCTTGGCTGTACTGAGTAGATATTACAGTCACTTCTACACTAGAGAAATCCTGTGAAACACTTTGAGATGTTCCAACAATGTGAATAACAAATTAATTAAGATAATCGTTTTATTTTCATACATTTATCAATGGTGGTCCATCTGCCATATCATTCAGACATAGTCTCGCTAGTTTGAAAAGGGGAAACTAATGTGGCCTAATAGTACTGGTGGAAGAGGCAGATGGTGGCATATTTAATTCTCTGGGTTTTCCTATAACTTGTTTTCCTGCACTTCCGGTCCTGTAAGCTCTTGACTGCACTTCTACGTAGAATGCTATGCTGCAGAGACCCACTTCAATGAATCAAAGAGGAAAAGCGTTGAGATAGATTGCACCTGATCCTGACAGGTCATAGACCGGCACAACACAGTGTTGTGACGTGTGACCCAGACCCATTTTTCTTGCTGAAAGACAAACACTCACTGCTGAGCTGCAATAATATTAACAATAATCAATCCATTTGATGCAGCGCCTTATGTTAAAACATTTAAAGCTTTGCAGTAATTACTGTTAAATGTAATGACTTTGTACAAATGCAAGGACTTTTATTATTTATAGTACTGATAGGTTTACAAAAGCTTTTTTCTTTATGGATTTGTACACTTGCATCATGCTCACTTTGATGCTTGGAAAGATACACTCAGTACTCAGAACCAAAGTTTTTATTGTAATTAGCCCCAAATATTAGTCTAAATTCACTGAAATGAAGGTGCTCTGAGACACTTTAAGCTTTGAGATGTTATCCTGCGTGCAAGTTGTTGTTGAAATATTAAACAGAATATTACATTATGTATTTGAGCATGACTTGTCATCAATTTATCCCATCTGTTTTTCCTTTTCTCTTTTTATAATTTTTATTCTTACCATTATTGCATATTTTACCTTTTTTATTTGTAAAATTTTTCAACATTTCTTTCACATTTAATTGTTTTTTCATCTCATGGCTGCTTGTGGGACCTTGCCCTCCAAAACGATCAATACGTTTGACCATAATTACTTGTGAGATGTTTTTGATGTGATGAGGATATTTAAAATCTCCAGCCCTTTTTCTTTCTGAATCCTACTACTACTGCTGTCATTCCCATATTTCCTTCTGCTGATATTATGTGCTTATCTGTCACAAGCACACTCGATGCCCGGGATGCAAACCGTACACTTCAGAATTTAGTTATTTACTTTATAATAGACTGTACTGAAATGCAGAAGAGACAGATGTGTCAACAAATTCAAGAGGCAATTAAATAGCTTTTTGGCAAATCATTCAATTGAAGGTATAGTGAGAGAGCTGTAGGATTATTTTCTTTTAAAAATAGATATATCTTCTATTTCAAGGACCGTCCAGATGGCCATGGAAGTCCTCTTGTGGTCCAGTACATTTCTTTTGTTTCTTTTTGAGTAAGAGCTTTTGTCACTTTGACTATGTGCATCTTGATTTTTAAATACTATACTGTCTGAGATCATTTTAGTTGTATTTTTTTAAATCCTGGAAGGAATACTAACTGGAAATTTACATTTAAATTGTAAATTTAATGCTGGACTGCAAACAAGTCTTTGCCATGTTTTGAATGAATCAAATGATGTGAATGATTGCTTCCCACTCAGCAGACTCTTTTGAAGCCTGAAATACTCTTTATTAAAACTATTTCTAATATAATTCATAATTACAACTGCACTGTGATGGTAAACATCAGTTGCACGTGGCACAGGTACGGAGTGCATGAGGTTGCTGTCTTATTGTATATCTGCAACCTTCTTAAACTCTGTGATTTCCTTAAACCCTATCAACCTTCCCACTCCCTCTGTTCATCAGGCACTGGTCTGCTTTACATCTACACCCATCCTGCCCCACCATCACAACAACAACAAAATTACATTTATAGAGCATCTTTCAAGTCGGGAGGACGTCCCAAAACGCTGAACAGTCAGGTGTCGGGGCCCGAGCATGTGGTAAGGGGTGGTGTAGGGGTGAGGGAAGGCAGAGAGGTGGGAGGGAGACCAAAGGCACGGTCGAAGAGAAGGGTCTTGAGACCGGCCTTGAAGGAGGCAAGGGAGGTGAAGGGACTATGGGATGGAATTCCAGAGTGTGGGGGCAGAGAAGCTGAAAGCCCGGCCACCGATGCTCCGCAGGAGACATGGAGCAGGCCGGAGCCCACTGAACGGAGGGAGCGGGCAGGTTTGTAGGGAGTCAGCAGATCAGAGAGGTAGGAGGGGGCAAGACTATCAGCAGTCAGGCTTTCAGTCTTTCTACCTCCACTCTCTGGAACTCTATTCCAGAGACCCTTTACTTCGCCTCTTCCCTTGCCTCCTTCAAGGTCTGTCTCAAGACCTTCTTCATCTCTGCCTTTGGTCATCTTTTCTTTCTGCTCACATCTCCCGATCCCAACCCTCAGCTTGGGTCAAACCCTGGACTCTCGAATGGCTTGGGATGTCCTCCCAATGTTAACGGCATTCTATGAATGCAATTTGAAGGTGGTTGTTTCTCTGAAATGAGTTGTA